AACACCTTGAGGAGCAATTTAATTGGCATACAGCCACACTTAACTTACCGAGTATCCGACACCTCCTTGAATGGGATATAGACACAGGTCCTCCGCCCCTAACTGAGATTACTCGAGCTGTTACTGGCCTAAAAAGAGGCAAAGCTGCGGGACCCAATGAAATGATTCCAGAAGTGTCTAAGGATAGTGGAGACAGTTTACTATCTGCGTTAACTAAGGTATTAGGCTAGCATCTGGGAATCACAGGAAGTCCCATGGGGTTGGTTTAAGTCATTGGTTTTCCCGATGTACAAGAAGGGAGACAAGTCTTCCTGTGACATATATATATGTAACGGTCAGAAGAATTTTACATTGATTTAATGGTCAGCTATCAGCTCAAAGACCATCTATTTTCAAGTTGTTCACCATCTAACTCATTTACAAAAAAGACCTGTATCTAGAAATAACATAACTGTATACCCCACATGCAGGTATTATATTTACACAAATTTATTTGTGGCTCTCGTGGCCCAAGTGGTCTAGTGGATAACGCTTTGGCGTTTGAAACTACGGGCACTGGGTTCGAGCCTCGGTGGGAACATCATCACTCACTGAGAAATGCAGGTACATCCAGCTGACGAGTCCCAATTAGGACGAAATGCGCATCCTGGATTCCACTGCTAGCCACCATCCACCAATTGTATACAAATTTATTTGTGCTGCAGCTCACTGTTACATCAATCATATAAGGTGTATGGCTTTAAATAGGCATGATCAATATTGATTTTAAACTGTTGAGCATAAATAAACAAAAATTCACTTTTCTATTGATATAAGAATAGAGCTTGGGCATTGTGGTAGGGTATAACTTCATCACGGAGTAAATTTATTTGATGATAAAGTTTCAGAAAGTTATTAAACAGTTTTATTACTATCGTTATTATTTATAATTTACTGTTAACAACGTTTCGAGCACAATTTATTGCTACTCATAATCATATCACGATGTACTCACATAACTTTTTGACTTTGTCTAAATCATTCCAATAATGGAGATGCTTTGTAGCTCAGGTGGATGATTTCGATGTAGTTGTGTTCCCTGAGCTGGATGGTTTATAGTTGCGAAGATTTCATTGACCCCTACTAGGCAACATCTTCAGCGCCCATACTTCAAATTGAAGTAATTACCTTTGGGAATTCAATTATGCCTCACGGCTATTATCTTTAAACTCTAAGGCAAAATATATAGATATAAATAGAAGGTGTAGCAATGGAATGGATCACCAATATCCCCTATCATAGCAGATATATTTATGGACAGCTGGGAAAATATTGCTCTTAATACACGTAATCCTACCCTAAACATACGGTGGAGATATGTGGATGACACTTTCACAGTGTTAGAAACAGAACATATCTCTCTCTAGCATCTTGACAGATAAACTCACAAGCAGAAGGAATAAAATTCACATTTGAATCGGAAAATGAACAAGGAGAATTAGCTATGATGTTAGATTGTAAAATAAAACGAATAGAAGAAGGCAAACTACACACTAGTGTGTACAAAAAGCCAACTGATTCTACTAGATATTTAGACTTTAATTCATCTCATCCGTTAACTGTTAAGGCAGGCTTAGTTAAGTGTTTAACAAACCGACCAGTAGCACTGAATAGTACAACAAGAAAACCTAAACGATGAAATAAAACAGACAGAAGAATAGCTAGTTGGTGTCAAATAACTATCCTATAAAATTCATTAGGAAGATCAGAAAAGGTCAAAAGCAAAATAAAAATAGTGATGAAACTAATAGTGGTAACATAAATAAGAATCTAAGGCATCAGCAGTTTTACCACAATAAGGAGAGGACATCTGAGATCCTACGTAGGATTCTTAACAAAGCACGAGCTAGGGTGTCAATACGTTGCAATGACTGTAAGGTTAACTACCTAGGGGAGACCACTGGATTATTGGTAGTCAGATTGTCTGAAAATATGAATTTAGCCGTGTCCAGTGACGACTGACCTCATAAAGATGTGTCATTTAGTGGGAAAAAAACTCAGCAACTGCACGCATGCATTAACACATAATCACACAGTAATATAGATAGATGGAGAGAGAGAGAGAGGTTGACTACTGGAATTGCGTCCATCCAATACACACCCAACACATGCGCATTGGAAATGATTCAACACTAATACCAGAGATATGTGGCAAATATTACTACAAATCAAGTAGGGAGATGGCAAGCATTGGAATTGTGGTGAGAGCAGACAGCTAGCCAATAGGTAGACATTAATCTACGTCAATGTCTAGGTCACTAATATTGGCCGCGAGAAAATATGAACAAGGCTGATTCAACAAATAATCACAGGAGACTTAACGTGGGCAAATATGATTCGCAGATAGATGGCTCTACTTCTCGATGGATACCCGAAACAACCAATCAGAAGCCTGCGTTTGTCTGCTTAACTTCTGAGAAACAACCAATCAGAAGACTGCGTCTGTCTACTTGAATAAGCTATAATAATGTACAGGAAAAATATATAAATACGTGTTGATTTCCGTAATAAAACGATCTGTTGCCTGGCCCTTGTCTTCTGTTGTTACAGAATTATATAAACGAAACCGGAAAGTTAGGTAAGTTATTCTTGACATGATTATGAGTAGCAATAAATCGTGCTCGAAACGTTGTCAAGAGTAAAATAATAATAATGACAGTAGTAATACTATATAACAACCCTGTGAGACTTGATCATCAAAAAAACTTACTTTATGAAGGAATTCAATTGTATTTACTCTTTGTAAGTAACATTTATGTCAAGCTAACGAAAATCTATTTTCTTCCATTATACCATCGGTAGCATATATATATATATATATATATATATATATATATATAAATGGCTAGAGACAATGGGTGATATGGCTCAAAATCGTCCTCAATCGTACAAATACACTCACTCCTTGTGGTTTATCATATCCAATAAGACCACACTGTTCTTCTACATTACTATTCTTTCTACCGTAACATTTCTGTTGATTATCGTCCCTTTCGAGTGAATAGGGTTAGCCATCGAGTGATAGGTAAGCAAGGTAGATCAGCCAATGAAGTTGTGCACTTACATCTATTGAGATGGCTAGGATATGTATGTGTTGTTACACATACACCGAGCCATCGGCTTCGTCAACCGTCAATGTTCCCTCACATTGGACCACTCAGGTTTCAAAAGAGTTAGCTAGTGGTGGCGGTCAAACCAAAACCAACATGGCTTCATCAGTCAATGAAATCTACAACTGTTAGTTTAGGCCAACTAACCAGTCATGTAGGGAGGTGTAGACTGCTGTCTGGCCGGTTAGGGTCCTCAGGATGGTAAAAACCACCAATGAAGACTGGAGACAATTGGTGATATGACTGGCTCAAAATCCTCGTTCTCAATGGCTGGTGCAGATGTATTCACTCTTTGAGACTTGTCATATCTAATAAAATACTACTGTTCCTCTATGTTACAATTCATTCTCCCTAACACTTTCGTTTATTATCTCTCTGCCTTTTGAGTCTCTCTTTACTCTCTTCTCTCGCTTTATGTACTACACGGAGGGAGTGTGTCAAGTCGAAGTGCTGCACATCTATGCAAAGTCCTGTGTTGAAACCAGTTTCATGTCAGACACACAGCCTCCAAAGTCTCAGGATGGTCGGGGGTGGGTGTCTTGCGCTGCGGGTTAGCCACCCCTCCGCACACCTCTTGAAATGCTCCCATATGACCGTGCGTCTTACATAGCCTCTCCTGAGGAAGTCCTACTCACTGCCTTCACGTGGCGGAGGTGTTTCTCACTAAAGCGAGAGGGTAAAAGCGGATGCCCGGCGCTCTCCACCGGGTTGACTGTCCATTGGATGACAGTCTAGGGGAGATGGCTAAACCCTGATTCCAAACCTCCAACGACTGGCGTATGAAGCTTACTGGAGCTCACCGGCAGACGTATGGACAAAGGGCTTGTTGGATGTCCTGGATGTCTGGCCCCATTCAAAAAGGCGTATGAACCGAACTCCGGTCATCGGCTGCCAATGGATAGTGGACTCCTTACTCCACTCCTACTGCCTTGTAGGTCACACTTGGCTGTGTAAAGGCTAGAGCTGCACTCTCAAACAAAAGGCCGAGCGATCCTGGGGACATCACTCGTACCAAATTCCCAAGAAACTTCATGAACTCGTTCATGAAGCCGGTTCATCCTCCCGTAGGAGATAGCCGAAGTAAAGTAAAGTAAGTAAGTAAGTACACAGAATATATATATATATATATATATATATATATATATATATATATATATATATATATATATATATATATATAGGTTTATTTCATTAAAAAAATACCCAAAGATACAGTATTGATGACCGGATCACGTCTCCAGTATAATTCATTGCTGATAATTATATGATACTATTAAGAATAATGAATCACATGCTAGAAACATCATCCAGTCGTCAGCGGCAATCCCTAGTGATTGGTGTAGTGTTCCCTGCTGATGAGTAACAGATAGGACGAAATGCACATCCTGGATTCAACTGCCAGCCACTATCCACCAAAATAAACATCATGTTCATCCTCAGATATCATTGAGACATCTGTATTGGGAGGCGACATATATCATCAGACACCGAACATTTCAGTGCAAACACAGAGTTAACTAAAATTAATCTATTTAGAGTTTAGTATAACAAATAGTACAGCGGTAGACTGCTCGCCTACCACGCCTTATGCGGTCCGGAGCTCGATCCCCGGCCACCAAAGCAGTCTTTTGCCTTGCAAAGTCAGTAATAAGACTGGTAAAGAGAGAAGGTTGGGCATATGAGGTTAGCAACCCCATCCCATAAAAATAAATAACACCACTGCTACCGAAACTTCAAGCCTCTAACTTGAAGGCGCCCTATGTTCCACTGGGAACGTAAAGGAATATAAGAAAAATTACAGTTGACACTTTTGTTAAGATTATTGTAGAATAATTTTTAATCAAGACGTACCTGAAATAGTAGAAAGACCAGGATCAACTCGTATAAAATGCTAAGGCATAGTACAAATCTCCAAAATGCTGAAAAAGAATAAAAAAATTTTTTTTAAACAAAGTCAATTACCTGGTGTAATCGTATATCGTATAAGTAAGAACTGTTTATAAAATGAGCTTCAATGAGAAAATCTGAAAAAGCAGTAACAAACCAAATCTCCAGCAGGCAATTTAGTAGACTAAATCATCAAAAATGTAAACGAAACTGATTGGTAAATTAAAATTTTTATGACCAGCCATAACTACTAGACTATCCTAAGAAAAACAGAACTTGAGAGAAAATAATGTATGAATCAAGTTTGTTTGGGATCTGCACTTGGTTAGTCATTCAGAAGAAAAGCCTGGAAGTTACGTGAATATCCAGTAAATGAATTATTCCCTATTATGACCGTGTAGGCTACTTGCTTATGTTCTTTTCCACTTTCTTACTGCTTATCCGCATTTTGTACATCTAGTGTGTCAAGTTAGAGTATTTCAACATGAGCTGACATTGGATAGAGAACCACTGGAAAACCTGGGAGCACTGGACAGCTGTTTCGTCCTATTATGGGACTCTTCATCAGTACGAACCCACCACAGGGTGGTTCAAATCCAGGACCTTCTGGTTACAGGGCGAGCTAGCTCGTAGACCAGTAAGCCCCTGGGACCCGATCCGATGACTAGCCCATGAATTCTAACTTCTGTCAATTCACGATATAGCACGACCACTACCCAATGTCTTCGGCGAGTATTTGTCCTCACACCCGACCTGCTGCACCCTACTGGTCACGACTACCTACCAGAAGGTCCTGGGTTCAAACCTGGTGGGTACTTACTGATGAAGAGTCCTAAACTAGGACGAAAAAACTGTCAAGTACTCCCTGCAGATTTTTCCAATGGTTCTCTAACCAATGTCAGCTCATGGTGAAATCCTGTAACCAATCAAATCCCTACAAACCAACATTTGAATAGCGTATCAAGTGTTTACGCTTATTTATGAAGGATATTCATATAGAATAAAAGTTACTGCAATTGACTAATCTTCTACAACAGGTGTCTGATGAAAAAAAATACACCAACACCCTTCTCCGAATGATTTCAGTAAAAAAAAATGAAATTTGACTATCATTTTGCATGTCTGTTAATTTGAATGACAATATTGAAAGGTTGTGTTTGTTTGATAGAAATGTAATGCATTTGTACAATACACTGTGAACAAGCTGATCACACATCCGCTTGTCAAGTCAGCTTAAATTTAAAATCAGTTAAATGAGGGCTAATTAAAATAAACACGAATAAAAGGATATAAAAATGTATGACAATTGTAAATAACTCTTGGTAGAATAAGCAGAGAGATGACGGTAACACCAAGATAAGAGGAAGAGGAGAAGAAGAAGAAGAAGTGTAAAAGTAAATCGGTTTTCGCACATACACTGAAGGCCTAAATTCGGAAGTAACTACCACCCTAACATACTTCAGTATGTATCCCTGACACTTTTTGAATAAAGCCTTGAGGGCGATTTTCGTCACTGAGAAGACGGGGAGTAAGTATAGACAGTTGCAAATAAACAATAAATAATATAATTAAAAGTCAATCTAAACGAAGAATATTCTTTTCAATAATTTCTCTTCAGCTTCCTCCAATTATAAAATATTATAATATTTGTAGTCGTTACAATAATGATGGCCAGTTAGTTGTGCGGCGGATACATTTTTAACGTAGATTAACAGATTAGTTATGAGGTGATTTTAAAACTTTAAACTTTGAAAAACTTCAATAATGCTCATCCAGCGGTCCATTTCACCTACGAAGGAGAATACAACGACTCTTTACACTTCCTCGACGTCCTACTAACGAGAAGAGAAGATATTTCCATCAAAAGAACCATATTTAGAAAGCTAGAGAACAAAGCCCAGTATACACATTTCCTTAGCTTCGTACCGATGAAATACAAACGTAATCTAATCAGGTGCTTAGCATTTAGAGCGAAGTCGATTTGTTCTGAAGAGTGCGTAGAGCAAGAATTCCAGATCATCCGAGACATTCTAAGCGAGAACGGATATCCAGAGAAGTTCATTAAAGCCAACATAGGTTATAATAGTCGTAAACATGAACTGACAACTGTGGAGAAAAAGCCTTTATTTTTACGTCTCCAATTCAAGGGAGATACTCCTGCGGAGATTCTATCCCAACGTTTAACCAGGGCGATCAAGAAAACTTTCTACTCTGCACGTCTGTGTCTATCCTTCACTAGCCGTCCAATGTTCACCCAGCAACTCAAAGATGTCTTACCTAACCTTAGCTCTTCTTCATGCATATACCATTTCAACTGTTTCTGTGGTTCAAGTTATATAGGGCACACGACTAGGCAGGTTCGTCTACGGGTTCGAGAACATTTACCAACTTGGTTCAGCAGGGGGGGAAATTAAGTGCATAAAAAGCTCTATCCTGCCACACTTAGTCGATACTGGACATCGCATCGAAGTCAACACAGCTTTCAGGGTTATATACCGAATTCCGAAGTCGTTATCACGTACAGTTCGCTTACGTCTCCTACACACAGAGGTGAAGCTGTTGCAATTACATCGACCAAACCGGAACTGTGTATCCAAAAGGAACACGTCCAGACGCTGTTCCTACCGTGGCCAAAATTGGATTGAAGATTTTTCTTCTCGCCAAGAGTGCTCCTTCCCCTTAACCCTCTTGTTTTTTTCTTTTTTACTTTGCTTATTATTATAAATATTATTATTACAGTTATTATTATTATTCGTCATAATTTATGCTCTTTATGTAAACATTCCCTCAATACTATCGCATTTTTCATTTATACTATCCGGACTTATTATTAGTGATATCATCTGTTTTTTTAATATATGCCTCCACCTGTTTCATTTCACATCTTCGTTATTTTATTATGAACCTCTCATCGCAATCTTACTATCTCCTCTTTAATACAGACCACTTTGTACTAGTCACTCACTCACCTGACACCTTTTATAACCTTCAACTGACCTGTCAATTTTCCTACCCCACACTCTACAATTCTATTATGATTAATCACCACCATTGTCTCCCGCCTTACAATATTTCTAATCGATTTCAGCCAACTAGAACGTTTGTCACACAAATATGACTATTTATTTTGACACCCCATAACTACTAATCTGTTATTCTACGTTAAAAATGTATCCGCCGCATAACTGGCCATCATTATTGTAACGACAATAAATATTATAATATTTTATAACTGTAAGAACCCTGAAAAGGAGAAATTATTGCAAAGAATATTCTTCATTCAGATTGACTTTTAATTCATGTGATATGGGAATATTTCACACTACCAAATAATATAATTTTTGAAAGAAAATAAAAATACAAATATCCTGAATGATGCAAATGCAAATTACGACTGCAATAGCATAATGCATGTGAACATGACAGGAAGTGGTTCATTCATCTACCCCTTAAAGTCGACATACTCTAATTTAGTACAGAAACAATGTCATGGATAAAAAAGGAACGAATTTAGAAATAATCAAACATAAATCACTAAGTGTGTTAGATAATTGGTTTATTTTATTTTAAATTTTTAGCTTTGATTCTCAACTAATGACTTCTAACACTTCCAAGAAAAAATAATAATAAACAGTGTTGAAGCGTAAATCACTCGACATAGCCTGAGTTCTAGGCCAATCGCTGGACCTATGTTTTGTTTTGATAACCCTGATTTCCCTTAAATGCACACCAACTTTAACCAACATGATACATAATAAGTTTAATTTCTGACTGTTCTTCGTTACTACTACTATTCCTTTGTCTCACACCTCTGTTTACTGTCTCTATTATGCATTTCTTCTCTTGCTTTGTGTGCTACATGGAGTGGAGTGTGGCGACTCGAACTGCAGCACATCGGTGCAAAGTTCTATGTCGAAGCAGACAGACAGAAAATTCCTGAATAGATATAAGTGGAAAACAGGTTTCAAACACAAGGAGAGACACTGTTTCACTTGGAGACCCCTATCATCAAAACAACGTTGAACACAAATAGACCACATAGCAATAAGCTATCGTTGGCGTGGGTCGGTAGGAGATTGTCGCTCCTTCTGGAACACGTGTGTAGATACCGATCACGCACTGGTCCGGCTCGGGTGTGCTTACGACTGAACGGACGTAGGAAACAGCTGGCGGTAAAACCATCACGTCCCCAGCTCGATCAGGAAACTAAATCCCTATTTGAGGAAGAACTAGCTAAACACATATCTGAGTCCGACAGCTGTGCTCACCCTGAAGAAGCCTGGAAGAATATTCAGTCAGCCATAGATACAGCTGTAAAAGCTGTGAATAAGGTAAATCCAAAGGTGAGTAAAAACCACTGGATTTCGACTGCCTCATCCGAACTGATAGATGCTAGAAGACTTATTCCGGCGAGCTCCGAATTCAATGAGGAGCGAAAGCTGCACAAAAGGAAACTTACGAAAAGTCTCCGCAAGGACCGTGAACAGTGGTGGGTGACAAAGGCGAAAGAGATGGAAAAAGCATCGGCGATAGGCAACACTAGGCAACTCTTTAGACTCATCAGGGAAACGGGTGGGAGAAGGCAAATCATAAGTGAGACTATTTCTGAGAAAAATGGCTCCTTAATTAGCTCTCAGGATAGACGCCTTGAACGCTGGAAAGAACACTTTGAGGAAAATTTAACTTGCCTACAGCCACACTGAACCTCCCCGCCATCCAGCACACACCCGAATGGGATATAGACACTGGTCCGCCGTCTGTAAGTGAGGTCACAAAAGCTATCAGTAATTTGAAACGAGGCAAAGCGGCAGGACCCGACGGAATTATTCCGGAGGTGTTTAAATATGGGGGTGACATACTAGTTTGTAGATTAACTGAGGTACTAGGCAAAGTCTGGGAATCAGAGACAGTTCCATCAGACTGGGGTAAGTCACTTATTATACCGATATTCAAGAAGGGAAACAAGTCCTCGTGTGATAATCATAGGGGGATCAGCCTAACGAACATAGTCTCTAAAATCCTAGGCTCAGTAATCATGCATAGACTAAGCAGAACTCGGGAGGAACAGACAAGGGAAAATCAAGCAGGCTTTAGACCAGGTAGAGGGTGCATAGATCATATCTTCACTCTTCGACAGATTCTAGAACATAGACACACTTTTCGGCGTCCAACAATTGCCATATTTCTTGACTTGAAGGCGGCCTTCGACTCCGTGGATCGAAAGGTACTATGGCAATGTCTGACTGTGAAGGGAGTGCCAAGAAAGTACATTGCACTAATCAAGGCACTCTATTCAAACTCACGTAGTCGTGTAAGGGCTTATGGGGAATTGTCATCTGAATTGGTAACAACCAGTGGTGTCCGACAGGGATGTCCACTTTCCCCATTTCTGTTTAACTTCATCATAGATATGCTGATGGAAGTATCCTTAACTGAACGTAATGACTTAGGAATCGACTTGTTACCAGGGAATAGTCTTATGGACTTAGAATATGCAGATGACATAGTCCTGTTAGGGGAGGATGCTGACAAAATGCAGAGTCTTCTGAACACCTTGAGCAGCAATCTTCGTATGTTTGGCATGCGATTCGCCCCTGCAAAATGTAAGATGCTGCTACAGGACTGGACCACGTCAACTCCTAACTTAGTGATAGGGAGTGAAGTGATAGAACATGTTGACCACTTCACCTATTGGGAAGTTGTATTAGCACCAACGGACTGATTGGCGATGAAATCTCAGCACGGATCCGAAAAGCTCGAGCTGCTTTCGCTGACTTACACCATCTCTGGCGTAGGCGTGACATCCGGTTATCAACCAAGGGACGTGTGTACTGCTCAGCAGTTCGCTCCGTCCTTCTCTATGGCTCTGAAACATGGCCAATACGAGTTGAAGACATGAAAAGGTTGACTGCTTTCGATCATAGATGTCTGCGATCTCTGTCTCACGTTAGGTGGTTTAATAAGGTAAGTAATGTTGACGTTAGGCGTAGAGTGTTGGGCAAAGAGGGAAAATCAATCGACGAGGCTATAAAGTTACATAGACTGAGATGGCTAGGTCACGTGCTGCGCATGCCTAACCATCGCCTCCCCCGACGGGTATTGCTAGCTGATATAGCAGTAGAACTCAGTGTTTTAAGTCAAACTAACAACTTCCAGGTTTGCCCCTGTTATTATTTGCCGCTAAAAAATGTCATTATGATTAAACCAATGCTCTTAACAACGTCCATGTTACTACAATTATAAACCGACCAGTAATCACACTATATGTCATGAGAGAATATTGTTCATATATTGGAAGTTGACTCTTGTTAGAAATAACATTGCAAGCACTCATCTAAATATAAGTTAGTTTATGGAGGCGCGAAAAAACTACACTACGATTGACCTGATCAACGTATCCATTACAGACCCACAAGAGGTTGATTATTTGCTCAAAAAACTGTTGTAACGACTCTGACTCAGGCAGTGGATGGTACAGATTTAAATTTCAGAGGGGAGATCTGTTTCTCCAGGGTACCAAACCAGACCAAAACCTAGTCCTATGAATTCCTTCCGATAACCTTTAATCGTTTTACATTAATATGTGAACCTTCTATATTGTCAAAGGGAACAGATAGTCATAAACGCTAATAACGATTTGCATCAATGATTGAATCCACGTATACTTGTAACTACTGAAATGCTATGGATTTGCAAATAGCAGGGTGTGGATAATTACAAGCATGCATTCATTTGTAGATTCGTAAAAGTTGCTTTTGAAAATGGTGTACAAAGTGAAGTGGTAAACACTAATTTATGGAACTTTAATACTGCAACCGAAGACTCCATGGGAAAGTCAACGCTTAGTACAACCATTCGGTGTTAACAACTGATAGACATGTAACTTCTACGGTATTCTTGCATTCTGTAATCTGAACAGTCTACTTGTGACATAATACAACATTTTTTCGTAAACATTAGGAAGGGTGTCCGAATTTTTTGGACACATGGGAGGAGACGGCAGAGTACTCATTAAAAAATACGGGATACAGCAGGAAACAACGGAGACGTGTTCGTTGAAAAAGTGATACAAATTGGAAAAATCAAAACTATGGGGAAAATAAGATATGGTTCTGCTTTCTTTTACGGGCAATCCTCAAGTAAGGAAGCCTTAACTGTTACTTTAAATTTCACCACTAAGTAAACGTTGATGACATTTTCTAGATGGACAGTAATACGACTCAGATAAGCACAAATTACCCACCCAAGCAAACTTTATTAGTGCAAAATGTCATCCTTTCACTTGCGATTTCCTTGAAACTCACCTATTTGACTGTTTCAATTTGATCCATTTAGTTCATTTGTATAGCTGATATTGTTTCAAGATCAATAACTAAGTGACTTCATCTATCACTACAGCAATAACTTGCTTTAGAGTATTTGCAATTCTACTACCATTATATAGGCTGATTAGTTTAGAATAATTAGTGTCACTGTCTACTTAAACACAAGTGTCATAAGAAACCAATAGAATTTCCAACAATTTACTAGTTGAGATTATTAAACTGCACAGCGAACACATTACACACGAGTAACTTAAGAGAAAAATGAACTTATACGAGCAACTCACCAGGATGAGGCCGAAGAAACGGTCCGTCTGGCGTATGAACAACTCCGAACAGAAGAAATACCATGATAACAGCACTAATACCACTTTACCAAGCATAATGATACCAGAACTGCATACTAACTTACCGTTTCATGTTGTATTCAGAGGAGTAATTTCCATTTTCTGCAACAGCAACATAGGTGAGAATACATGCGAATATTATCAAACATAAAACAGTATGTGCATTCCTAAGGCATTAAGCGTCAAATAGAAAAAAAATACCAGAAGAAGGTCGATGTCCCATCATCATAAAATTCCTTTGTTTTAGTTTTTTCATCTTCCCAATTAAATGTACCCTTACGAGGTTCTAATTGCACTTGTGTACTATGACTACTCAACTGACCATTAGCCTTCGCAGTAGATACAATCCTGTTCTCATCAAAACGACATGAACTTCTCATGTTTAAAAACTATGCAAAGTCTGAAGGTCATTGGAGAATGCAAGTGGTATGATTAAACGGCTTGAAAATCTGCCTTTACGGCTCGAGCCTCTTGAACTATTTTAAATTTTTACCACGATAGCTTCCAAATTCGGGCTTCTTCTTTGAAGTTAATAACATCTTATGGTGCCCTCAAGGATAGAAGTTACCATTTCGAATTTATTTCTAACGAAAGATCGCAATTCTAAACAAGTCTGTAGCATGATCTTGATATGTGATCGACTGTTTCTCAACCATGCCCAGTCAGCTAATGCACTACAAGGAAGCATTCAATGCATTATCTATTTTTAGGCTTTCATGGGCGTTAATGACGTTGTCAAATAACCATAATCGGCTATTTGCCGTGTTTTTAAAGGGTTCACCACAGCAAAGTTTTCTTGCTCTAAGTGTGATTTATTGTGTCACAGTTTATTCTGGTTAAAATGAGAAACACAGATTTCTTCTTAGGCTTCTTCAGTTGAAATAATAAAGTTGTCAATGTAGTTGAAGATTGAACGATCAATTCATGGTTGTTTGCTCAAACCCAACTTCCCATAATTTTCGCGGGTGATCAATCTGCCAGTCATCGTCTCATCGGTCGCTGTTCAGAAAGAACCTGGAAAAAGCTGTCAGAAGTTATATCGTGATTTACTGTTGTAATATTTGTTCTTAGACCTTAGTCCGTAATACCAATAATGTTGGTTATATGTTGGTGTTAGAATAAAGAATTCTCGAGTCGTCAATCTGTGTTCTGGTTTTTGCGTCCGTTAATACCAAACGTTTCTTAAAATCTTCGAGGGACAGAGTGAAGCCCAGCGTAGCAAGAGCTGGGCATTAACGGTGTATGGGACGTGATTGACGAAAGCGTTCCTTATATTTTGGCCGTAATGTTGCCCAAACAAGCTTTGCTCTACGAGATGAATTATTGCCAAAAAAAGACACACCAACAGAATTCATGCACAGAGATGCCTCTTATTTTGTGTGCAAGATCTAAAGTATTTCGTAATTTTGAATGGTTTCTCGTTGCGGACTATAAATTGACTACAGCCAGCAGCTAATTTTAAGGCAATAAAACCATGATATTCTTGGTTTTGAAGAAGAATATAGCTACAGACATGAGTTAGATATCTGTTATGAGGAAAGTATGAGGTACGCGTGCTACTTCATTTTCATCCAGAATGACTGAAGCCTTTGTCACAAGCCGAAGGTAACGTATTGTGAATGAAGTGTGAGGCTGAATTTTGCGGTGACCTTGTCCATTTTGATGAAGTTCGTAGATAAAACCGTTCAGTTTCAAATGTGATACGAGTCGAGATTACATTGTCACGCAGAATTGTCAAAAAAATTAGTCACTTACCTCATCAATTGATACCAGCCGATCTTGATTTCAATGTGAAAAAAGGATGTTATGAAGGGCCCTTCTTAAATCTAACACTTCTTACAACTAGTATTGCCTTTCAGTCGAGGAGTGTCTTATACGTACGTGCTACTACTAGAACACCTGAAACGTAAGTTATGCCACTCTTATTGATCATTCACTTTCAGGTCACCACTGGCACTCTGGTTTCCTTCAAGGATTATCTCAGAATATGGACGACAAGAGAGTTTCACTTCTGTCTCACAGTTTTAAATCGTCATTAAACACATTTTATGGAGTGACTCTGTGAAGTTCGAACTGAAATGCCTAATTTTATGCAGTTATTCCATGCTGGTATTCCCGAAGGAACAGTTGATGGAAATGAACACGGCATCAGCCTTCTTATCGAATGAATGCGTATCCTGCATTATAAAGTGAATATATTATATTATTACAGATTTCCGATATTAAAATTCGTCATAGAAAATGTTTTGGGAAGATAGAAATAAGCATTGCTCCACTTTCCATAAATGCTATCTTTAAATGATTGTCTGAGGTGGAACAACAGCATCAACTTGTCGTCTGCTTAGTGATGTACTTTATGAATGTTTTGCATGGGCTATGACATATAAAGAGACGATGTTTTGGACCCTCGCCAACCATGCATATGGTCCATGGTTTGATCCCCTGCCGATGCACAGCTGATATCTATGGTCGGCCTGCAATATTTAGGCTACCGATATCGCATGCTGAAAATTCCATACTTGTACAAAAAAATATATTTTAGAATCAAGCCGTAATAAAAAATAAAAAATACTGACAAAAACTGCGTTTTTGATTCCACCTTCTCGTTGGTAGTCGACGAGTAGCTTATTACTAATAATACTTTTCAGGTGATTTCGGCCTGGAAACAAATGGGATTCGATAATAGTGAGGTAGAAATGATGGTCATCATAATGGAAACCGTGAATGACTTGCGTCAAGACCACCGAATAAGGGAGGAGAATCAACCGTCGTAAGAAAAGATAGGTTGTGTAAACAGCCACTTGACTTTATGTTACTTTCTTCTAGTGGCAAATGGATTTAACGAAACACTTCACTCCTATCGCTGAAGGAGCACTCTAACGCTGGTGAGCCTGTTAACAGCAACTAGACAGTAGTGACCTGCAAATTTTCTTCACTAAATATACCTTACATCTTATACAATGGATTTTTGTCATTCTGTTTCAGTGAAAATGGAGTTGATGTTTGGATTAGATGAAGACTCTATCGATTGATAAGACGCGAGTAGGCGCTTGGTGGTATAATTAAGTCAGGTAGTGCTGCAATTTCTACAGTTGCATTAATTCGTCCAACCTGAGAAACCCAAGGATGAAATGTCTTTAATTCTCTCAAATTTCAGTTTTGCCTCCGGTGGAGGGCTGCTAGGGATAAATAAGCAGTAGTCAAGAGATGAAAGTACACCTGTCTTGCAAAATATAATTGCCAATCAAATAGGCTGTAATTACTTCAGACGAACTCACACACGCCTTAAGATTCCGACCAGTGTACGTAAGCATGTTTTGAAAATGACGGGTCGTGAGAATATGTTTCATATACCCGTCCCAGACTCAACTCATGAGACTGAATGCCTGGCATGTTTCCAAGGCCGTCGTCTCTCATGTTCGGCCAACAGCAGATTAAATTACTAAATTTCTGTTGCCGAAGCAGAACTGTACCGCCACCTTGTCTGATTGAGTGCGTTTAAATAAGGGAGTGGCTTACTCGCCAGGATATTTATTCAAACCAAGAAAGCGGGAGAATAGAATAAATTTCCTGAGTTAAAACAATGTTCGTTGGTCTTGACATTTAAAAATTAAATCGGAATTCGTTCATTCGCTCCCTGGTTTTTATTATAGGCTTGGTCAGATTGAATTAGTTTCTGCTGATGATGACGTCTTTAGCAACATGCTTTCGAATGATGCCCCCATGAGAGACAAAGGCATTAATGACGCTAATAAACTGTACCGAAATTACAGCGATTCTGCATTCTGACACTGGCTGAATACCGGAAGTGTGCATAAAAATCTGTAGGCCAAGTGAATTTGTTCCGCTCGATCTTTTAAAATAACTATTTGGAAAATACGTGTCAATGGTAAAGAAACTTTGGCAGTAAAGAAGTATCATAGCATAATGAAAGTCGGTTATTGTGCACCGAAATTTAGGAGGCGCAGATATGTCACACTGAATGAATGATAAATGTGAACTATTATCTAACAGAAGTCGCTTTCAGACGCGTCTACAAATTCATATGAACATACAAGAGTGACTGAATTGAGAGAAAAGAAAACAGAGACTGTGTGTGACATGATGAATTTGGTAAAGTTATGAATTCAGGGGCTTCCATGTGCTTACTTATGGGATTGGTCAACATCTAGCAGACTACGTACTTATTATCACTCTCTAAGATTCTGAGTGGAACGTAGGGCTGCAAAGCACATCTCTATTTCATTATGGTAGGCACAGTCATTTTCAGCAGGCTTAACGATTGTCAACAGGCTCAAATTTCCCTACCTCCCTCATCAGACGCCCAACTCTGAGTTTCTCATCTGGGTTCCACTCCAAGGTCTGTCGGGAACATGATGTCACCCAACGGCCTCCTCTATGTTCGACGCAACTCCAGTGTATTCGACATATTCGTTGGGCTACAGGTTCTTCGTCAGAATCCCTCGCTGCTCACCATTTCCACCTGACCATCTGGACTTCATTATGGAGGGAAGGCATGTATTGATAAAAGTCGTCAGTCTATTGGCTATGCTCTGTGTAATCCGTTAAGTCTATGAACCAAACAGAAGTTTAGAAGCAAAATTGTTTGTGGACATAAATGCCGCAATTATCTTACAACAGCTAGTTATGTTACTAATTTAGGTTTTGAAACTTGATTTTCGAATGAGTGGCAGAGGTACAACGAAGCAAAGAAATCCGTACAAATTATACAGAAGATATTATTTCTACTTCGCAATGTCTTCTTCGATGAGTTACTGCCTCATCTTTGACCTGCTGTACCTGCAGGACGAAACAGCTGTCCAGTACTCCCAGGTTTCCCAGTGGTTCTCTAACTGATGTCAGCTCATGGTGAAATCCTCCACACAATCAAACAAAATCCCTACAAAACCAATACTTGAATATTATTTCTACTTAGTGACTCGTTTCATCCTTTTGAGTGCTTTGATCATCAACCATACCTAAGTGACCCTAGCTCTATATGTTGTGGAAGTCCTTAATAAGCACTGAATTGAAACTAGTGTTGAAAATTCGAATCTTTCACTCTCTGTTGAGTGCGTCAGATTTCCACACTGATTTCAGAGTAGTGAGCGTCTGTCTAACTCCCGCCATCCTGCACATGATGTTCTCATATATGCTGTCTGTCAGGGAAGCGACATTTTCGTCTCCCCCCTTTCCCTATATTTGATTGAATTGGTATATTCACTGCTTCATCCCTCAACTTGTTAGTTTTCTCCTCACTGGGCAGTGATTCATATACCTTCATAGGCTTAATTAACATCAAACGAATTCAAAGCAGTCTTTCTACTCAAAAGAACGCTGTATTTAATATTAGCTTAACGGGGTTAAAACCGTTTTAGTA